AGGCCATTCCAGAATTGTGTCTGTACTGTCTTTTGAAAAGACTATCTAGTTGCACTAATCTCCGTCCTGCTCTCTCCCCATTGTACCGCATCTATTTTTTTGCCAATTATATATTGAAAATCACCCTTTTGAAAGCGACAATTGAATCTGCTTTTGCTGTGGTTGTGGCCAACATAGTCTGGATGACAACTGGCAGTGTGTATGAAAAGAAATGCTCTTTATCTTCCATCCAGGGCTTTGCCATTCATCCTCAGCATGATTTGGGCAGCACGGTAGCTCAGTGGTTAGCACTGCTGCCTCACAACATTAGGGATCTGGGGTCATATTCCACCCTCAGGCAACTGTGTATGTGGAGTTTGCATACTCTCTCCTCTGTCTGTGTGGGTTTCCTCCCACAGTCCAAAGATGTGCAAATTAAGTGGATTGGCTGTGCTAAATTACCCATAGTATCAGTGATGTATAGTTTAGGTGCAATAGCCATGGGTAGGGGGTTGGGGCTGGGTGGCTGTTCTTCAGTGGGGTGGTGTGGACTGGATGGCCTGTTTCCACACTGCAGGGATTCTATAATCTGTCAGTGAAATAGATAATGCAGCTATCATTTACTCATGAATGGAGCCTTGCTGCATGTGGGTAAAGTGGTTGTCACATTTGCTACATGACATCAGTGGCAAAACATCAGCAGGGTAATCCTCAAGGCTTTTCGAGAGAGTGGGCACCATGGGGCCTGGGGTACTTTATCTCCACCTCCAGTTCTACTTTGATTTAACTCCTCCTTCTTTCCCTACCCTTCCTTCACTTTCGTTATTGTTGCAATGCCCTAGTGGGGAATGCTTGTTCATTGTTTGTTTTGCTGATTATTTGGGTGATTTGTGGTGGGCTATTAAATTAATAAAAACTAAAACATCAGCCGTGTTTCAATGACTGTGAAGTTCTTTGGGATGTGCTGACATTGTGAAGAAACATTCTGGAAAGGCAAATCATTCCTTTCGTCTTTTCCTTTCTCCCTCTCCCTCCCTCCTCTTTCTCCCAACTCCTTAATGCCTGCATTTAAATTTATTTCACCTCGCTCCTTCTCACTGCATCCCTGTTTCCTCTTTTTAGTTCATTTGCAACATCTCAATGTACCCCTTTCACCTTCCTTTGCCATTTCCCACAAAGTTAAATATTTCTGGTTTAAAGCCATTATTGTTTCATTAACAATTCACCTCTCAGGTGAAACTGAGCTGTCACCAAACTCCAGACAATGAGGCACCTTTTAGCATAGCCTGAGGAATGCACTGTCCCTGAATATGAATTGGCAGATCACCAACTTTCCGTGGGGAAAATATCAAACTTGCAATTCTTGACTATCCAAGAGACATCAGTATGAATTACTAAACATTTTACATTACTGTGTGTGCTGATATATTGGGCAGAACACACACATAAACACACACACTCACATGCACAGACAGACAGACACAAACACATCCTGTCTCACACACGTAGGTACACGCACGCTCGCTCTGACATACACAGACAGAAACACACAGTTTCTCACACACACACAATTCTCTCCGACACCCACTCTCTCGCGCACACACTGTCTCTCTCGCTTACACACACACGCACTCTCCCTCACACACACACAGACACACATGCACACATACACACATTCACACTCTCACACACACACACACACACTCATATGCCCACACACACAGACACAAGCACACAAAGACACAAACTCACACACACACACTCAGCCACACACACGCTCTAACACGCACACTCACACACACACACACGCGCGCACGCACGCAGAGGCAGGACAGAGATGGCAGCACAGTAGTGTGCCATTGGGAGAGTTTTGACCTGCGAATCACCAACATTCAATCCGAACCCAATGTTATTTCATGGCATAAGGACCAATGCCAGAAAGAAAATCCCTTGTTGGTTCCTACCTACAGTCCTTCCACGAACTAATGTGGATTCCTCTATCTTGGATGCCTCTTGGAATATACAAGCATAACCCCAATGATTGCACAATGTTCAGCATCATTTGTGACTCCTCAGATACTGAAGCAGTCCATGTTCAAATGCAACAAGATCTGGACAATATCCAGGCTTGGGCTGACATGTGGCAATTAACATTCGCACTGCACAAATGCCAGACAATGACCATCTCCAATAAAAGACAATCTAACCACCACCCTTGACATTCAATTGCATTACTGTCACTGAATCCCCCCACTATCAACATCCTGGGGGTTACTGTTGACCAGAAACTGAACTGGACTTGCCACATAAACACAGTGGCTCCAAAAGCAGGTCAGATGCTGGGAATCCTGCAATGAGTAATTCACGTTCTGACTCCCCAAAGCCTGTAGACTATCTACCAGGCACAAGTCAAGAATGTGATGGAATAATCCCCATTTGCGTGGATGGGTGCAGCTCCAACAACATTCATGAAGCTTGACACCATCCAGGACGAAGCAGGTCTCACTATATTGGCACCACATCCACAAGCATCCACCCTCTCCACCACCAATGCTCAGTAACAGCAGGATGTACTATCTACAAGATATACTGCAGAAATTCACCAAAGATCCTCAGACAGCACCTTGCAAACCAAAGACCACTTCCATCTAGAAGGACAAGGGCAGCAGATACATGGGAATAACACCATCTCCAAGTTCCCCACCAAGCCACCCGCCATCCTGATTTGGAAATAGTTCACGGGTGAAAATCCTGGAATTCCCTCCCTTAGGGCATTGTGTGTTTACTTACAGCAGCAGTTCAAAAAGGCAGCTCAACGCCACCTTCTCAAGGGGCAACTAGGGACAGGCAATAAATGCTGGACAACCAGCAAAGCCCACATCTCATGAATGAATAAAAAATATACATGCTTACTAATCACGGATGATTTAAATCTTCACGTCAATTGGACAAATCACATTGGTAAGAGTAGCATCAAAGATAAGTTCATTACATGTATTTGGGACAGTTTCTTAGCAAAACTACCAGCTATCATGGTATTTTGGACAAAACTGGAATTTGGAAAGCTTAATTAAAGACCACATATTGAAGGGTCATCTCGGCAAGAGTGATCATAATATGTTGGAATTACATTCAGTTCGACAAGAAAAATAGGAATGAGAATAATCAGGAGACTTAAGACTGACTCATCTGTGGACCTGGTGGCCTGTGGACTAACTTTCAAAAAAATGTAGCAGCATAAATGGATGTGTGTGTGTAACGTTTTAAAATTCCCCAGATTCTGGAAAGGCTCCAATGGATTGGAAGCCTGCAAACGCGTCATCTAAGTTCGAGAAAATAGGCAGAAATAAATGTAGGGAACCATAGACCAGTGATGCTAACGTCTTCCATTGAGAGAAAAAATCCAATATTAGTGGACAGTAGTGGAACATTTGGAAATAATAATGATATCAGTCAGAACTAATATATTTTTGTGAATGGAGAAATTAAGAAGATACCTTTGATGATAAAACAGGCAAGTTAAATAAAGGGGATCAAGTAGATGTAGTGTATTTTGAATTCTAATGGCATTTTATAAGGATTGACATGCTAGGTTGTTATACAAGAGAGGAGGTTAGGGTGCTGAATTGAAATATTATCATAGATAGAGAACTATGTAACTAACTAGCAACTAAGGGTCAGGATAAATGGGGCATTTGCAGAATGGAAGACTGTAATTAGTGATGTGTTGCAGTGATTGGTGTTCAGGCATCAACAATTTGCAATCTATGTTCATGACTTGGACAAAGGATCCAAATGCATTGGAGTTAATTTTGCTGATGATATGAAGATTTGTAAGAACGCAAGTCACAAGAGCATAAATGAGCTAGGTGAGTGAAAAGGTGAAGTATGATGTGGTAAAATTATGCTGTCAAACGAATCCTCCATATGGTTTACCCAAACAATATAGAGGTTACAATATGGGGGTGGCATGGTAGCCCCACAGCACCAGGGACCTGGGTTTAATTCTACCTTTAGGTGACTGTCTGTGTCGAGTTTGCATGTTCTCCCTATATCTGTGTGGGTTTCCTCCCACAGTCCAAAGATGTGCAGACTAGGTC